CCCCTTTTTTTTCTCTTCTTTTTTAATGAACTCCACTATTGAGGGTAATGAATGTAACAAAAGCAGCTCAGATGTTGATTGATTGTGTAATAAGTGTTTCTGTCCATTTCAGCTGCGTATACTGTGGGATCCAACACACAGGATCCGTTTGTTGTTAATGTTGCATTATCCTTGGCTGCGGGCTCACTAGTGGTTTATCTTCTCCCAGAGTGTCAAGAATTTTATGTTTCTTAAAATCAGAGACTCAACAAGTGATGGAGGCTAACGTCAGCAGGACTTGACTCACACTGTGCCATTTCAGCTTTATTTACAGGAAGTAACCACTTGTTGAGTCTGTGTTTTTAATGGCCCTGATTCTAGCATATTCACACTCTCTGGGAATCTTACCTGAAAGTGAATGGGTTGTCTTCCAGTCCAGTAACTGGCAGAGTTAGCCAGGAACTTTACCACTTTCCTCTAAAACCACATTTATGTGAAAGTGGATGAACAGTGTTTCAACAGTAGCAGCTGCTGAAACACTGGACTATTTTCTGATTTCACCTGGAGGCTCTTCAGAATTTAATCAACCTGAATCCCTTTGAAACCTGCTCATTACAATTCTTACTACAATTTTAAAAAGCTGTTTTGATTCAGGTAGTGTGGCCATTTTAATGGAGCAGAAGCGTCTGATAACCTCTGATCCCTGATTTCTGTATCAGTTCTCAGCAGGAGTCGGGCATTAGCAACAGCATGTAGAGCCAACAGTAGTAGACATTAGGAAGGGATGTGAAATGTGACGATATATTCAGTATACTGGGAGATTATTTAGACAAATTTACCTGTGTAAGCCAACTATGGTTATGTTAGGCTATTGTGGGCAATGTTTCAGCTCAGTTAAATCAAATGAACTACTTTATGGCAAAATGGTGCGACAGTCTCATCTGCTTCTTATATGTTCATTTATCAGTTTTTTTTTTTCAAGAAAATATTTACAGTATATCAAAATATGCATCAATATCTCAGTATAAAATGTTTTCTACCATGGATCCACTATAATATAAGGTCAGTATTAGTATAAAATAATTTAAGGAGCACAATTAAAAAACTAATTATTGACCAAAGTGACTTTACAGAGAAGATTAAATGATTCAAAAATACAAAACGAAAATAAATAATATACAGAAATGTAAAGAAAGTTACATTTTATAACAGTTCTAGATGAGATATTACAAATGTTATATTCAGGATTATTTGGTCACTTCTATTTTTAATTAATGACAAAATAAACCACACAATAAGTTTTTCTACAAAACATGATAAAGAAGGGGAAACCCCCCAAACTGATGAATGAATTTAACATTAATATTGAAACTGAAGCTAATTGAAGCTTTCTTTAGCCTCAGTCTGGATGTAAAGCTTTGATCAAAATGTGGTTTTGACTGGTGATATTGTAAAAGTACTCGATGAAGGTTAGTTCATGCCCTTATTTCAGTATTTTTTATGCTTATTTGTCATAAAAATGCCACAAGATTTTCACTAGAAGAAATTGTGTTGTGTGTTACTAAGCAGTACTCAATCTGTGTGTTCAGAACAAATGAAATAAATGGTTTTCATTCTACAGACATGTTATTTTGGACAAACAGGGGCCCCCTACGACTTCACATACAGCCCACTGTGTATATTAACTAGGTTTTAGAAGTGACACTTGAGGTGATTCATGACTGACATGAATTTACTGGCAGGTGTGTGGCATTAGAGAAACTGAGCCCGTGGGCTTCCTAGGGCTGTTATACATGTATCCCTTGCTTATTAGCAGAGGTCATGAGAATATAGAGCTTGTGATCTTCTGCTGAGAAACTTTACGAGTTGTGTGAGCCTGTGCTGTCTCACAGGAGGTTATTGATTGTTCCTGTCTGCGGTGCAGGGAATCAGTCTGTTTCGGGTTTCAGGGAGATGCATTAAAATAGATTAGTGCTCTGTTTTTAGCAGCAGAGTGAGGCAGCAGTTAGCTAGACATTAAGAGAGAGGCCATATTGTAGACTGAAAGGTACCAGTTTGACTTTAGTACAGCTTCAAAAATATAAGTGTACAAGTGCAGTAGAAAAAACCAGTCTACTAAGGCTGCAACTAGCCATTAATTTGACAATTACTGGTTTATTTATCTATACAATGTAAGTGAATAGTGAAAATTGCCCATACACGTCACACACATCAATGTGCACACGTTTATAGCTGTACCATGCGATTCAGTGAGTAGGGGTCTCTCTCCCCCTCTCTTCCCTCCTCTCCTGCTCTGTCTGTAATCACCTATTCTTGGAGCTTTTTTCCAATTGCCTCATCGGAAAACCATGCGGAGAGGGATGGCCGATCCACAGTGATTGAACAGTTCTGCTCGCAATTTAACTCCATCTGATAGGGGTTAGCGAGACCTCTCTCACAATGTTCCTCTCTGACTGGGACTGACTGCGGAGAGGTGTATCAGTTAAAACAAACTCTGCACCAAGACTTGACTGTTTTGGCGCAGCAAACTAAACACAAAATAGACTAAATATATAGAAGACATTTGCGGTGGTGTTGGTTTTGATATAAGGGTTAAAAGAGGATTTTCTTCCTGCTATATTTGAGACTTTCACCTTATTAACCAAGAAGCTGTGGCTGTTGAACAAGTTTGCTGTGTATAAGGTCTAAATCAAGTTAGATTTAACTTAGCGCTTTGTGATATGCTCTTAGGAACCTGACTAATCATTCACCAATTTTTAACTCTGTAAATATCTAGTCCTTCATGTCGTGCTCAAGAAATGCTTGAGGTAATTTAGAAACTGAGTCTTCACTGTCTTGTGCTTTTAAATTGCATGCTGAAGTCTGCTTCAAAGTGCTTCTGTGTGCAAGTATGGTGCACTGCTGGCACAGCATGGTGACATTACTTCCTATTGTGATCCTTTGATACGTCTTCATGTTAATTGTACAGGCACCATGGTTTGCTTTGTCCAGGTGGTCTTGGATTCAGATTACAAGCTACTTTCATATCTGATTTTAAAATTTAACATGTGAACCACATATGATGTTGGCGTGTCTAGACGTGTCACTTCATGCTTCATGGTATGATCTCTAACATGAGAAGTGTAAATTACAGTCACGGTCCCATCTCTTGCTCTGTGTGCTATACTCTGAGGCAGAAAAGCCTTAAAAATAACCTCCCATGTGGCTGTGGAAAACTGCTCAGAGTTAAGCTGCCCACGAGTTTTGGTAAAGGATCAATTTTTGAGCTCGTTTCCAAGCCTCAGGCACCAGTGAATAAACAGGAAAGTGACCCCAGTTTAGCCTTAGACTTGTCCTGGAGAGTGTAAACTGCCTGACCTCAGGCCAAAGCATGGAATTGAATTGAAAATGGAGAAGAAGCTGTTTGAACCTTATCTGTGAAGAGAAGGAAGCACATAAATGCCAGTGGCAGATGGATTCTTTGTTTTATTTAACAACAGTACATGCTATAATGTGTTTTCATCTGGCTGCTGTCTCACCCTGATTTTCCCAACAGCTCTCTTCATTTATTTCCGAATCTTATCTTAAGATCCTATTGTATTATCTGCATTCCCAGGATTGAGATCGAGGACTCAGAGGCAGTGGGCATCTCCAATATCATCTCCAATCTTATCACCATGTTCCCGCGAAGTATTTTAACAGCACTGCCCAGTGACCTCTTCACCTCCTTCATCAACTGCCTCACGCTGCTCACCTGCTCATTCGGACGCAGTGCTGCCCTGGAGGAAGTGGTGAGTAACCTCTCACAACTCACAGCAGCTTCATGACATCCAACTAACAATCCTTGACTTCTGATTACAAATAAAATCAGATTTTTCCTAAGGTTTCCCACACTTTTATGGCTTTGTTTTTGTTTTTTCTTTTTTGTTAATTTACTAAAAGGTTCTTACATTTAAAAAATTATTTATAGACACACGTCGGATCATAAATGAACTGTGAAATACATGACAAAATTATTCAGCTAGTGATCAGCAGTGTCTTTATTTATTTTTCAAAATATTTTTAGAGTCTTGAAGAGGTGGAATTATGACCTCTCTGATTTATGTTGTGATTCCAGAATTGTGAATCGCTGGCCAAGCAGTCCTCAGTTTAAGACTTTATTACAGATGTTGGGGATGGCCACTGTAGTCTTGACGTTAATTTATAACAGGATCATATTAAATAGGATGAGGTGACATACAGTAGGTGTAGAAGTGTCAACAAAGCCTTGGGCTTTATGTTGTACCCATGTTCCACATCGCATTAGGCCTGAGTACAGCGTCTGTTTTGGGGCAGTGACCATTGTTCATTAACATGGATTTTTAGATTTGTGAAATACTGAATCTGTATGACACAAATGATACTCACTGAACATGATGAAAGAAGCCAGTTGAGGTGGTTCAGGCATCTGGTTAGGATGCCTCATGGATGCCTTCAATTGGAGGGTTTCCAGATACGACTAACTGGTAGGAGGCCCTGCGGTCGACCTGGAGTATGCTGCAGGGATTGTATATCTCATCTAGCCTGGTAATGCCTCTTGGTCCTCTGGGAGCTGAAGAACGTTGCTGGGGAGAGGGACATCTTGATTATTTCACCTAACCTGCTGCTACCGCAACTTGACTACAGATATGTGACAGAAAATGGATGAATGAGTGCATGGAGACTGATTGGTCTTAGGTGTCCAGTTTTTCATGATCAATTTAGAACTGCAGTGATGAGTCTTATTAATGCATTGGTTGATCAACTGAAATAGAACTGCAAAAGAACAGGGGCGCCTTGTGCTCACCATGTAACACTCCAAGTAGGTCCAGAAAACCTTGAGGTGCTCTTGAATATAACCCGTAACAACCAATTGGAAAAAAATCTTCAGGCACTCTTGGGTGGAGGAAGGACTATGTTTAAAAGCCTTTATTTAATTGAGCATCTGTGTAAAAACTCCCAACCGGTTTTCACCTCACCTGGACTTGATCAGGGCAGAAACATTAAAACAGAGTTTTTGCACTCTACTCTTTATAGATGATACCTCGGACGTAACACAGTTACAAACACTACAGAACAAACACCACATAGTCATCCAGGTACAAATATCATACAGAATTGAAATTCCATCAACATAATAATATAGCCCCCTCAGTATGAATAGTGTAAAGTTATTCTGAAAAGGGCTTTAATCTAAGAGTGCCTGCAGAAATGGTTTCACTTAGAAAATTAAACCGTTTTACTGATCAAAGAGTTGTTTTTGTCACTTTTCAACAGAAATGCCAAAAAAGCTTCTCTAATATAAAGATTCTTTTTAATCGTACATGACCGTAAAGTGGATGTCTCTGTGGTTTTGGATTGTTGGTCTGACTAACCAAGACATTTGAGGTTATGGGGAAATATTAGAGGTATTTTTCACTGTTGTATAGTTATTCACGTTTACTGTTTTACAGATATTTTATAGACTGTTTAATGGGGACAATCTGCTTATTTATCGATGATGAAAAGAACTATTGGTTGCAGCCCTGTGACAGTATTTCCATACAGCCTGGGTGAACAAGGCTGGGTTAATTGTTTCATTTGAGGGAAAATGTTGCATGTCAAAGTGAATGTCTTTTTTCAGTTGATAAAGTCTTTAGTGATGATAAGGCCTTTAAAATGACAACACCAAAGATCTGGATAGCCACATTATGAAAATTGTTGCTATATTATGCTGACAAGTATTTGCTCTGTTTCTTTTCTTGCACAGCTTGATAAAGATGACATGGTTTACATGGAGGCCTACGACAAGCTGCTGGAATCGTGGCTAACACTTGTGCAGGACGAGGAGCATTTTCCTCGTGGCTCTTTCGTCCAGCCAGCGATCCAGGTCTTCAACTCATATATTCAGTGTCATTTAGCTGCCCCGGATGGCACCCGGAACCTGGTGAGATTCTGCTCTACTGTATTCTTATTAACACATTTAATTGCAGTGGTATGTCACCACTTCTACGACTCTCCTCTTAGAATCCTGGGACTATTCATGCCCAGAGATTTTACACATTTATTTCCAGTCTAACACTGTGGCATACATGTATAACTTCTTTGCTCCTCTCTCCACTTTCTACACTCACCTCCCTACCCCTCAGTCAGTGAACGGCATCTCTTCTCATGATGAGGAAGAGATCAACGAGTTGCAGGAAGATGACAGAGAGCTGTTCTCAGACCAGCTGTCCAGTGTCGGCATGCTGGGTCGTGTGGCTGCTGACCACTGTGTCCCCCTGCTCACAAGGTCAATAACTCGTAAAAATTACCAGCTACTTGTCAATTTTCAAAGTTTTTGTATTTCCTCAGTGGCTCCAAAGTGCAATTAAAATGTGTGTTTCCAAGTTACAGCTCATTGATTTTCTTGCAGTATGTTTTTTGTTTGCAGCAGGGATTTAGTGTGATGTGGGCTGTTGGAGTTCATAGTGCAGCAGTTTTTGTTATCAATGCTGACCTCATCCCACAGCCTGCTGGAGGACCGGGTGACACGGCTGCACGGCCAGCTCCAGAGGACCCAGCAGCACCTCATGGCCTCATCTGATCCTGGCTCAGTGGACCGCAAAGTCTTGGACGACCTCTACGAGGACATCCACTGGCTCATACTGGTGTCAGGTCAGCAGCTGGACATAAAACTTAGTTTGTATATTTTACCTTTCACAAAACAGATTTTGGTGCAGTCTGGTCTCCTTAAAGATTTGTAGCACAGATGCCATTCATTTTTGATGTGGAAGACATAATTGTTTCCTCACTGATGTTCCCTTTGCATTTTAATGTTTCTCATTACACTCGTGTTTCTGTCCTCGGGATTGTATTGTTTATTTCGAGTTCATTTCATCACACTCACTGCATAGATTAGATGTGGCATTTATTATCCCTGCATCACACTGTGTATAAGTAATAAGGTATGAGATGTGTATAAATTAAAATGAGTGGCTTTTAGTGTGTGCACACAAACAGGCAGAATAAACTACTTAGTGACAGTAGTGATTAGTTGCAGTTTAATGATGACTAATAATTAGGAACTGAAGACAAAAATAAACAATATAATTACACACAAAAAATAGACACGTGCAACTTTATTCCTAAACAGTAAGCTGACATTTCAGCAACCATGCACACTCTCCAGGGTATCTCCTAGCAGACGACCCTCGGGGTGAAACGCCATTGATCCCGTCAGAGGTGAT